AGGGGCGGAGCCTAATAGCAAAATCCATATTTCCTTACAAAAATTCACCATTTTAAACGCGTTTCAAGTTTCTAAGAAAAAAAAAATCATGACAATGGAGATTGGGTGGGTGGGCGGGGTCTATATTTTGTCTTTTTTTCTTAATATACATAATATTCTTTGAACAACACGATCCGCAAATATGTTTTTAATTTCATGTAAAGAAATAAGTATTTTGCAATTAAGCTCTGCCCCCTTGGTACATGACTAATAAAAAAATCATTACAATTGAGACAGGGTGGGTGGGCAGGCTCATATTTTGTCTTTTTGTAAAAATATGTGTAGACTTCTTTTCACAACATGAAACTTACAACATGTCTAAAATGGAAAATTTGTGTAAGGAAATATCGATTTTGCAATTAGCCTCCGCCCCATAATTGCAAACCCCATATTTCCTTTAAAAATGTACCATTTTAACCATGTTTTAAGTTTCTTGTTGTGAAAAGATGGTTATGTATATTAAGAAAAAAAGGCAAAATATAAGCCCCGCCCACCCACCCTGTCTCAATTGTGATGATTTTTTTATTATTCGTCGTAGGCCAAGAAGGCGGAGCTTAACTGCAAGATCCATATTTGTTTACAAGAATTTACCATTTTAAACATGTTTTAAGTATCTTGTTCTGAAAAGACGACTACGTATATTAAGAAAAAAAGCAAAATATAAGCCCCGCCCACCCGCCCTATCTCAATTGTGATTTTTTTTAATCGTCAAGAGCCTAAGAAGCGGAATTTAATTGCAAAATCCTATATATGATCGTTTTCCGTGTTGTGACCGTGTCAATTGAGTATTTGGACTCAACGTTTTGCACGCTTTCGTAAGTGGCGTCTTCAAGAGCGGGGTTGAAAACTCTTCTGAGAGTTTTCCCAACCCGAAAAACGATCACATATTGAATCCGACCGTGGAAACTTCCGAAATTATTTGCAAAATACTTATTATTTCTCTACAAGAAGTCACCATGTAAGACATTTGTTTGAGTATCGTGTTATTCAAAGAATACTATGTATAATAAGAAAAAATTAAAGCCACAGATTAAGCCCCACCCATAGCTGTAATGAAGTTTTCATTCGTGGGCAGACATAGGGGCGGAGCCTAATTGCAAAATCCATATTTCCTTACAAAAATTCACCATTTTAAACGCGTTTCAAGTTTCTTAGAAAAAAAATCATCATAATGGAGATGGGGTGGGTGGGCGGGGTTTATATTTTGTCTTTTTTTTCTTAATATATATAATATTCTTTGAACAACACGATACGCAAATATGTTTTTAATTTCATGTAAAGAAATAAGTATTTTGCAGTTAGCTGAGCCCCCTTGGTACACGACTAATTAAAAAAATCATTACAATTGAGACAGGGTGGGTGGGCGGGCTTATATTTTGTCTTTTTGTAAAACAACCAGTCAAAAATGTAAAATTTGTGTAAGGAAATATCGATTTTGCAATTAGCCTCAGCCCCATAATTGCAAAATCCATATTCCCTTGCAAAAATGTACCATTTTAACCACGTTCTAAGTTTCTTGTTGTGAAAAGATGGCTATGTATATTAAGAAAAAAACGGCAAAATATAAGCCCCGCCCACCCGCCCTGTCTCAATTGTGATGATTTTTTTATTCATCGTAAGCCGAGGGGCGGAGCTTAATTGTAAAATCCTTATTTTTTACGAAAAATTACCATGTGAAATATGTTCTTAAGTAATCGTGTTATACAAAGAAAACTAAAATGTATTAATTAAAAAATAAAGCCAAACGAGAAGCCCCACCCATCTGTCTCGACTTCAATCGTGATGAATTTTTCATTCGGTGTCACACTGAGGGGCGGAGGGTAATTGCAAAATCGATATTTGCTTACACAAAGTTTCCATTTTAGACATGTTGTAAGTTTCATGTTGTGAAAAGAAGTCTACACATATTTTTACAAAAAGACAAAATATAAGCCCCCCCCACCCACCCTGTCTCAATTGTAATGATTTTTTTATTAGTCATGTACCAAGGGGGCAGAGCTTAATTGCAAAATACTTATTTCTTTACATGAAATTAAAAACATATATATATTGTGGCTTTTTCTTAATATACATAGTATTCTTTGGAAAACACGATATTCAAAAACAGGTTTTTAAATTCTTGTAAAAAAATTAGTACTTCGCTCTTAAACTCAGCTCCCTTGGTTCACGGCGATTAAAAAAAAATCATCACAATTAAGATTGGGCGGGTGCGCGGGTTTTACATTTAGCTTTTTTGTTTTAGATTTTCTGTTTTTCAATTATCGTTTTTTCAAATTTTCGATTTTTCAATTAATCGATGTTTTGATTTTCCCATTTCTTGACTTTCGAGGGTTTCGATGTTCCTGTTCTTCAATTCTTTAATTTTTCGATTTTTCAGGTTTTTTATTTTTTTAAGGTTTCAATTCTTCGACTTCACTTTTTTGATTTTTCTATTGCTCAATTTTTCGACTTTTTAGGTTCTCAGTTTTTGGATATTTCAGTTTTCGATTTTTTCAGGTTTTCCATTTTTCAGTTTTTCTTTCATTTTTCAGTTTTTCGATATTTCAGTTTTGGGATTTTTCAATATCTTGATTCTTCGACTTTTAGATTTTTGGATTTTGGAGTTTTTGATGTGTCGATTTTTTTACTTTTTCGATTTTTCAATTTTTCGATTGCTTAATCTTTCGATTTTTCGACTTCCCGGTTTTAGATTTTCTGTTTTCAGTTTAGTTTTCTTTGTATAACGCGATTTTACTTAAGAACATATTTCACAAGGTGATTTCTCCTAGAAAAATAAAGATTTTACAATTAAGCTCAGCCTCTCGACTTACGACGAATAAAAAAAATCATCAGAATTGAGATAGGGTGGGTGGGTGGGGCTTATATTTTGCCTTTTTCTTCTTAATTAACATAGCCATCTTTTCACAACAAGAAACTTAGAAAATAGTTAAAATGTTACATTTTTGCAAGGAAATATGGATTTTGCATTTATGGGGTGGAGCCTAATTGCAGAATTGATATTTTCTTATACAAATTTTCCCTTTTAAACATATTTTAAGTTTTATATTGTGAAAAAAGTCTACACATATTAAAACAAAAAGAAAAAAATATAAACCCCGCCCACCCACCCCATCTCAATTGTGATGATTTTTTTTATTCTTGAAAACTTAAAACACGTTTAAAATGTTAAATTTTTGTAAGGAAATAAAGATTTTGGAATTAGGGCCACCCCTAGGTCCGCCAACGAATGAAAACTTCATTACTATTTAGATCGGGGAAGGTATAGGTGGGGCTTTATTTTTCTTAATATACTCAGTATTCTTTGAACAATCCGATACTTAAAAACATGTTTTTAGTTTCTCTCGTAGAGAAATAAGGATTTTGCAATTAAATTCCGCCCCTTTGGCTCTCGACGATTTAAAAAAAAATCATCACCGTTGAGATGGGGCGGGTGGGCGGGGCTTATATTTTGCCTTTTATGTTAATATACGTGGTCGTCTTTTCACAATAAGAAACTTGGTTAAAATAGTAAATTCTTGTAGATAAATATCGATCTTGCACTTCAGCTCCGCTCCTCAATCTAACAACGAATGAAAAATTTATCACAATTGAGATCGGGGCGGGTATGGGGCCCCACCCATTTTTGGTTTAATATACATAGTATTCTTTGAAGAACCCGATACTCAAAAGCATATTTTTAATTTCTTGTAGAGAAATAAGGATTTTGCAGTTAAGCTCCGCCCCTTTGGCTCACGACGAATAAAAAAAATCATCACAATTAAAATAGGGCGGGTGGGCGGGGCTTATATTTTGCCTTTTTTTTCTTAATATACATAGTCGTTTTTTCCTAACAAGAAACTTAAAATCTGGTTAAAATGTTAACGAGCGTTCAAATAAAAACGACATGTTAGCTTTGGAAATGTGAACGTATCATTCACTAAGCCCTAAATTCACATTTACAAAGCCAGCTTGACGTCGTTTTTATTTGAACGCTAGTTACCTTTTTGTAAGGAAATATGGATTTTACAATTATGGGGCGGAGCTTTATTACAAAATCGATATTTCGTTATACAAATTTTCCATTTTGAACATGCTTTAAGTTTCTTGTTGTGAAAAGAAGTCTACAAATATTAAAACAAAAAGGCAAAATGTAAGCCCGCCCACCCGCCCGATCTCAATTGGGATGATTTTTTTTATTCGCCGTGAACCAAGGGGGCGAAGCTTAACTGCAAAATACGTATTTCTTTACAAGAAATTAAAAACATGTTTTCTATTTTGCCTTTTTTTCTTAATATGTGCAGGCTTATTTCGACAGCAAGAAACTTAAAACTACTCCCCCTAATGTTTGTCTATTAACTACCACACGTATTGTAAATTAAACAAGCTTCAAACAAAATTTATAGTATATTTCTTTCAATTCTGACATAACTTAAAGTGAATATTACACAAGACTGAAATTTACAATATATTCAGTGAATTTGGTGACTTTATTGCTTATTTCGTTAGTGTAACTACAGTTTGACGTTTGCATCCAACAACTAAATTTTACTTGGGGACACATCCATTTCAGCTTTACTGTATTTAATATCATTTTCGTCCAAATGGAGAATTTTTACGTGTCTTTTCAAAGACGCTCTATGCTTAAATTTGTACGCACACTTTGTACACTCAAAATATTTAATATCACTTGCGTCTAAATGAAGTGCACTGACGGTCTACTCAGCGACGATTTATGTCCTGTTCACACAAATCGTGGGCGGTGACACATTTCACATGTAATGGAAATTTAAAAATATGTACGCAACCAATTACACACGTGAAAACAGTCCATGAACGGATTTCAAAGTTTTCTTTCTATCGCAGAGAAAAATATATTCTGGTAATTTAACTTCACGATCAATTAATTTACTGAAAATATTCTGAATGTGTTTTTCTTTAATTTTTATTCCAGAAAACGCCTATAAAACCCATTTTTAAATTTGACGTCATTGTAGTACCATATCCTTAGTTGTGATGGCGTTAGTGAGCAAATACCCGCACATGAACTTGACAATCTATTTATTTTATTTTAATGTGACTGTCTTTTTAACCTTAAATCGTTGCTTTTAGTAATGTTCTAGTCCTCACACTAGTGTAAAAGAAAAAAAGAAACCACTCCAGAGATACAACAAAAATAATCAAAACATTTCGACAACCAAATGTGGGTTTGGTTTCGACCTTGAACGGAAACGTAAATTTTGAGGTTATATTTGTGTCTAAAACTAGCGAAGTAATAATAATGAAACGGTAAGATAAGAGCTAGTATTACATTTATTGTAAAACAAAGTATCCATAGGCAAACCACTATGTCAAGTCCAATGCCCCATGAAACCTTCCCTTGTGTCAAAAACCTTCACACTTGCAAACTTTGCCCGTACTTTAGTACATCACAGTTCCTTTTAACCAACCACGTTCGACGTCACCATTCATCGTTGCTCCATTTCAACTGTGAAAATATCAACATCGAGACTTACTACTGCAAGAACTGCAATTTCCAGACAGAACTCGCACTACTTTTAAAACAACACGTCGAACAACACCATAGCATTAAAAAAGAAAATGGTCAAGACTCATCACAGTTCAACATTCAAACGTACACATGCCAGAAATGTTGTCTCAAAACACACTTCTTACTAAAGTGGCTTCAACACGCTGCAACATGTCAACATAACCTACAAAAATCGAATTCAAGAAGAAATACAGTGAAAGACGTCTTAACGTGGTACAACTGCGACCAATGCGAACGCAAATACAAATTTAAACACTCGTTACGAGAACACAAAGTTTTGAAACACTTGAACGAAGATCAAGTGCTTTGGCACCATTGCACCAAGTGCTCGTACAAGTCACCACAGAGAAGACACTTGAAAGCCCACATGTACTTGCGACATACCGACGAAGAAAATATTAAATGGTTTGAATGCCATAAGTGTCCGTACAAAACCAAACAACACAACAATTTAATCAGACACATCAATGTACACCACTTGGACGGAGAAGACATTAAATGGTACGACTGCAAAAAGTGCCCTTTTAAAGCCAAAAGCGACTCAAGTTTGATTCACCACATGAAACGTCACCACGTAGACGAACAAGACATTAAATGGTACAAATGCAAAATGTGTTCGTACAAAACCAAGTACAATTTTTCTTTGCGACGTCACGTGATTTCGCGGCATTTGGATGAACAGGATATTCAGTGGCACGCGTGCGAAAAGTGCCCATTTCGGACTAAGCATAAAGTGTGTTTGAATCAACACATAAATGCGCGGCATTTAGACGAACAAGAGATTAAATGGTATGAATGTCAACAGTGTCCGTACAGAGCTAAGCAGAAAGTGTATTTGAAAATGCACATAAACGCGCGCCATTTGGATGAAAAGGACGTTAAATGGTATGAGTGTTCCAAGTGTTCGTACAAAAATAAGGACAGGTCGACGTTGGGTAGACACATAAATGCGCACCACTTGGATGGAAGGAGTGCCAAATGGTACGAGTGCGAAAATTGTGGCATCAAGTTTAAGTATAAGTCGTCTTTAACAAGACACATAAAGAAAAGTGTTTGTGTTAAACAAGACATAACCTAACTTTGTTTAATATAGTTTATGGAATAAATGTCAAACTGCGTTGTTGCCAACATAATTTTTTAACGCTAAAATGTTTTACTTATTGACTTCAATAAAGGTATAAAATAAAAATACAAACGAAAAACGCATGTGTTTTATTAATCCATATTATTATGTGTAACTGACAGTTGAACAGGGTTCATTTTATTATACAAAAAAGTGAGGTTAGTTTATAGCATTCCGCGTTGTTTTGGTTTCAATGTTGTTCGTCTTCGTCCAAATGTTCTGCTTTTACGTCGACCTTTAATTCAGAACTACATTTGGTTTTATTTTCGCAGCTCTCGCATCCATGCCATTTAATGTCCTGTTCTTTATGGCACGCTTTGACGTGCCTACACAAATGCGACATACGTTTGGTTTTGAATGGGCAACAGTCGCATTCGTACCATTTAATATCTTGTCCTTCCGAATGTTTGGCATTGATGTGACTTGTTATGTTCGACTGGTGTCGGGTTTTGTATGGACATTGTTGGCATTCGTACAATTTCGCATTGTTTTCGTGGCGCAGCTTTACATGCCTGGCTATATTTGAATTGTCTTTACTTTTGAACTGGCACAATTTACACTTGTACCATTTAACGTCGTTTCCTTGCAAGTGTCGCGCGTTTGTGTGCCTGCTTAAATTAGCCTGATGTTTTGTGACAAACGGGCATTTTTGACACTCGTACGATTTAATCTTACGTTCCTTTTTGACCGAATGTTTAATAGTATGTTCCCCTTTGACTGAATGTCGCGTTTTCATGTGATTTTTTAAACTAGAACTATATTTTGTTTTGAATGGACATTTTTCGCACTCGTACCGTTTAATATCGTGGTCAGGTTCATCAGAATGGAGCATTTTTATGTGATTTCTCAAATTAAAAATGTAGTGTGTTTTGAATTTGCATTTAACGCATTCGTACCCTTTAATAGTTTGTTCTGTATGTTTTGAGTGATGCAAACTTATATGAGTGTTCAAATTCAAAATGTCTTTAGTTCTGTATGGACACATTTTGCACTCGTACCATTTAACTTTATGTTGATCAGAATGACGCGCTTTTATGTGTCTACTCAAAGAGCACTGGTTTTTGGTGTTGAATGAACACCAATCGCATCCGTACCATGTGGCTTCGTTTTCATTTAAATGGAACGAATTAATGTGTCGGTTTAAAGACAACTTAATTTTAGTTTTAAATGAACACCACTTGCATTCGTACCATTTAATATCCTGCTCGGCTAAATGCTGCGTTTTTACGTGATGCCGTAAGCCAGAACTGTACATAGTCTTAAAAGGACATTGTTGGCACTGATGCCATTTAAAACTCGCGTCGTTAAATGAAGACTTTTTACATTCGTTATTAAGTTCTAAATTGTTTCCTTGGCCAGATTTATATGGGCGTATTTCGCATTCATACAATTTAATACCTAAAGCATTTAAGTGGTGTTCATTTATGTGTTTATATAAAGACGACCTATGTTTGCTTTTGAATGAACACTGTCTGCATTTATTAATGCCTCCCTCCCCAAAATGCCGTGAATACATGTGGCTTTTTAACTGGCGATTCAATTTGGCTTTAAATGAACACTCTGAACAATAATACCAGTGTATTTCATCATCAGTCAAGTGTTTCAGAATTTTGTGATTTTTTAAGTAACGCTTACACTTACTCTGGTATTCACACTGGTCACACTTATGCCAAGTGAACACTGTGTTTTCTGCACCACTTTTACCATTTGGTATCTGAGGGTTTTCTTGACTCCCTAAACATACCGTAGTATGTTGAAGCCACTTAAGGGAGCAGAAAGTTTCAAAGCTGCATTTTCTGCAAATGTAGCTCTGAATTTCATATTCTTTATTGCTTTTAACGCCATGGTGCAGTTCAAGGTGATGTTTAAAAATCAAGGTAAGTTCTGCTTGGACATCACAGTCTTTGCAATAATAGGGTTCGATGTTGACATTTTCACAATTAAAACGCTGAAGTGACTGGTGTCGTCTGGCGTGCGTCGTCAATAGAAATACCGAAGTTGTGAAGTATGGGCAAATTTCACAATTGTGAACCAATTTCTCAGAGAACTCCAAAGTCGACATTTTTGCTAAAGCGAAAATTTTATTAAAAATTCTGTTAATCATTGGCGGTTTGGTCTCACCTATTATGTCTGTAAATTAATCAAGGAAGTTGTTTGGATTTTTCCAGTGTTAACATAACCTCAACGTTGTAACCCAAATTCGAAACAGGTTACAACCTAAAATAGTAAGATGTTATAGTGAAAAATATGCATTTATTTCATTATATTTATAAAATTAAACTAATTGGCTTTTATTGTTTTTAAAATTATTAAAATCAATGTAGCAAGTGCAATTACCCATTGAAGCGCAGGGGTTGCGATTGGAAAGATAATTGACATTTGTTAGTGTATTAATACAAAATTCCCTAAAAAGAATATTTTCGTTGGTGAAACGGAAGTACTCATATAATTTAATTTATAATAAAATGGCTAAAACGAACTACTTCAGGACATAAAGTAACTAAAAAGTAAAATAAAATCGTCTAAAGTCGTCACCTTAGAACTGGTTTGCCGCATATCCAGATCGCGTCCGAGGGATTTTCGCCTCTACTGTTTAGTGCAGATTTGCCGCATGTCGCACTTGGGCGAAGCGAAACATAGTTTAGATTCAGTGCTGATTTGCCGCATGTCCAAGCAGAAATCGATACAGTACCGTTATCCCTTTTTACGTACTTCCTTGCTGTTTTGCTTTTCAGCGTTAGGTTTGGGGTTGGGAAAGAAATCGTATTCAACTTCACGCGCAGAACAATAAGAATAATGTGAAATAAATAAAAAAGAGACTTAACAATTTTGATGAATCTGAAATTAAAAAAAAACAACTGTAATTTGTGCAACTCTTTTTCTGTTGTTATAGATGTTACAAATATTTTCAAATTATTAGATTCGAAATTTTACAAATTTAAATTTCAAATAGATTTGTTGTTCGATAAACAAATAATTTAATTTTTTACTAAACAGTAACATTTTTCTTTAATTTTTTCTCGGGAATGATTGAACTTATTTTCTCTAAAGTTTTAGTGAACAAGATTTATAACGCTGCATAGCAGTAAAAGAGTTCACAATTTTTTGTAGTATTCTTATTTGTAGAAACGATATTTCTACATCAATAATCACAAATAATAGATACATTTTTAATTTTTTAAATTAAAATGTTGTAAAAGTAATATGAAAATTAAAATTTCGAAGCAAAATCTGTTTAGGTGGATTTTGCTTCGAAATTTATTACTGGAACGTTTACAAAAATCAGCTTTTGACATAAAATGCTTGCAAATTTGAAACAGAATTGGAATGTTTCTTGACAATCATGCCTAATACATTTTTGACTTGTATCTTTTAAAAACAATTATTTCCGAATTTATAGCTATTTACAATTTACGACTTACTTCAAGAATAAATTCCGTATTAGAATTTTACCTATAACTAAATAGATGTATGTTGTTAACTTATATAAGGTACCTTACATCGAAACGGGTAATTTGTTTTTTAATATGACATTGCCTTTCTTTATCATTCTATTTGTCTAACAATTATTGTTGTGCAATTATACGCGTGTAAATAAAAATAACTTTACAATAACTTATTTATGGGTAATTTTTTTTACCAATTAATTTAAGTGGATGGTTATATGTAATGGTAATAATAGCCGCATAAAATTGACTCACTGTTTAGGTATACCAGATATCAAAAGCTATTAAATCCAAATGTTATTGTTTATTTTTTTTATGTCTCGAGCGTAAGCTAAGGAAGTATTGTAATCAAGTTCATCGGGCGACTGGCTACTTTTATGGCTTCTCAACGTTTCATGACTCCTATAATACGAAAACATAGGTCTCTCGTTTCCGGTTGATAAAACGCTGTTTGTAATCATCCTCCCCATCATATAACGTCATCTCCAACTTTTACAGCAAAAAATGTTATATAAATTTTAAAAAATAACATACTTTTTCATTTGTTGTTTATTGAGATTTTACCCTAAGCATCCAGATTGAATTGAATTACCATAACCCTAATTTCTTGAGACTTTGGAAACAGGATATACTACATACATAAAGAAAGTTAAAAGAATTTGAAGTAATGTAATGATACTCTTTTTACATCAACATACTATTATTTATCAATTAATTGGGCATCGTCCAAAATACTGTTCATAAATTATAAGTGCAGGAAGTTTATGCAAAAACATGCAAATACATTTTTTGCGTATAATAATATGTATTGCTTTATTATTAAATATCTACTCATTTATAAGAATTATTAAAATTAGTAAAAAAAAGTATTCAAGTCTCTGTCTAGTTTAATACCTTACCTTATTTAAAATAATAAGTTTAATCAATTATGTAGTTAGCAAACAATGACGTTTAATTTATACTTAGTAGGGTTCACGGCATGTTTAATTCGGAGTTATAATTTGAGAATATAATTTACCATTTTATTTATTTTTGTAGTTTAGTAGTACTTCAGCAAATTTAGAAAACTGTATGTTATTTAAAAATACGTGACAAATCACGACGCCAGGCAATCTAGAGATCTGACTGCTGGTTTGCGCGGGAAATACTGCATACTTTTTAGATAAAAGGAGCCTATGATAAGCGCACGTAGGAGATGATAGACAGAGAGCTAATATTTAGAGCTAATGTATTGGAAAGAAATAGGACAAGTTTACGTGCGCACACCACAGCCTCCCTTTCTTCTCTAAACAGTTTGGGATCATACCATAGTATCATAAATAATAATTGACAAAGAGTTCGCAAAGGAATCCAACGGAAATATTTATACAATTGTTTACAACTACCAGTACAAATAATTCTTTCATTTTCAACTGAAAAGCATATAACTATATTAAGTACTAGATATTATGGAGTTAGGGGTAATCAAATAGATTTGGGTTGCAGTCAACATAATTGTCACTGATACATAAGACATGGAAACGAATGATTTATTTCCAAATCCAAATATACTGCATTTACAGTTTTAAACAGTATCACTGCTAATTTTCTCTGGTTGCCCGACAATAGCTACTTGTAGTCAATATCCACGTAATGTAATAAAATACTGGAATCTAATTGTTTGAGACAACAAACTATTTTTACCCGAGTGTTCTTTATCAGTTTGAATATTTTATATAAAAAAATTACATATTAAGCTGCAATTTTAGTAGGACTGCAGCGAGTCAACGAGCCGCCTTTACTCCGCCAATGCAAAGAAAATATCATTTTATTATCCTTTGTAAAAATAGTTCCTTTCTGTAAAACACATTTAAATTTGGTACTCCGTATTTCGTTCACAATTCACCATTTAACATGGGCGCCCATAGAAACCTTTCTCAGGGGGGGCCACCCTGAAATTTTTGTAATATACTCTGTTCTTGTATATATAAATAATATAATGATATAAATCTTTACTATTATAAATATATATTTTAATCATCAACTACGTTAATCAAATCTACTCGCAAATAATTCTACAACATCATTATTCTTATTATTAACAAAACAGTGTAAAATATTAAAATTAAAAAGTTATAAAAATATAAAATTAATCAAAAGCAAATTGCTAATTTCTTTTTTCTTGGCCAAAATCGTCAATTACTCTACCAACAGATGTTTCTTCGCCATTAACTCTCTCTCTCTCTCAAATACTACTGTCAAGTTTTTTTATTTTTACAAAATCCTGCCAATTTTGGATTTCGTCTGATAAATTGTCAGTGGAGTAAAATTCGCCCAACCCTTTAAAGCAACTTGGTTTTAAGTTATGTACATTCTTTGGATGTAAGGAAAATAATGAGTATAATGACACTTTTGTTTCGGAAAATCATGTCCTTAAGGAAAGAATGAAATGATCCAGATATGGAATAAAAGTGCCAAAATAATTTTCTATGCTATCTGTATTGTAGTTCGCACGCTCATTGGTGAAACAGTTCTGGAGCAACCGAAATTTCCACTCGAAATCGATGGCTACTCTGAAAACCCGCCATCAGTAGTAATAAATAACACCACTTATTTTATACTTCTTATTAGCTGAAGTATCATCATCAGTATTTGTAATTTTTCTCTTGAAGAAATTTCAAATATCCATATTTCTTTGTTTTTAAATAAAATATTAAATTTAACATTTAAACAGACATCAAGAGTACTTACGCTTGTATTTTGAAATAAATAAATAATAAAAAGTATAGTCAACAAAACGCCGGTTTAACAACTGTTCGTCTTTACACGTCACTTCACCACAGATAAAAAGTGAAAACGGAATGAATTTTTGGACGTAAGCAATAAAATGTTTGCTCTTGTGTTGTAATAACTGTAAAAAGCAAATAACGAAACAACTCATAATTCAGTACCGGTTAAAAAGGATAGATTTATGATGTTTCCAGGCAAATCTGGGCCGAATAGAGGGTTTCAAAACCAGATGGTCTAAGTTTGTCACATTTCTGTGTTTGTGTGGCCATAAAACTGAAAGTGTAGGGTATGTATCTTCTCTTACAAATGTGCTGAAGTTTAATTTTCACAAATAAAAAGGAAATTGACGCAGAATCTCAGGGGGGGCCATCGCCCCCCCTGGCCCCCCCCTATGGGCGCCCATGCCATTTAACAATGGAAATTAACAATGCAATATTTGGATTCTACAGTTTTTAGGAAAAATGAATGACTGCAATGAGTTTTATCAAATGTAGATTTTATATAAAAATAAAGAAAAATAAGTTTCTTTATTTTAGAAATATTTAGAAAAAATCGAATCAAAACATCAATAACTTAACATTCATTGTTCGTTATACTTAGTTAACTACTTCACCACGAGATTTCTAATATCGTTTCAATGTTTCATTTATTTCACATTATGAGTCCTTGCCGTATTACTTGTTCTGCGCGTGCGAAATCTTAATCTTAATTATCTCTGAAAAATGTATCTATTATTATCTGTAATTATTGATGTGGAAATATCATTTCTACAAATACGAATATAGGTATGCAGCATTATGAATTTTGTTGACTAAAATTTTAGAGAAAATAAGTTCAATCATTTCCGAGAAATCATTAAATAAAAATGTTACTGTTAAGTAAAAAATTAAATTATTTGTTTAACGAGCAACAAATCTATTTGAAATTTAAATTTGTAAAATTTCGAATCTAATAATTTGAAACTCAATCTTCCTTAAAAAAAAAATCGAAAATATTTGTAACATCTATAACAACAGAAAAAGAGTTGCACAAATTACAGTTGTTTTTTTTTAATTTCAGATTCATCAAAATTGTTAAGTCTCTTTTTTATTTATTTCACATTATTCTTATTGTTCTGCGCATGAAGTTGAATACGATTTCTTTCCCAACCCCAAACCTAACGCTGAAAAGCAAAACAGCAAGGAAGTACGTAAAAACGGATAACGGTACTATATCGATTTCTGCTTGGACATGCGGCAAATCAGCACTGAATCTAAACTATGTTTCGCTTCGCCCAAGTGCAACATGCGGCAAATCTGCACTAAACAGTAGAGGCGAAAATCCCTCGGACGCGATTTGGATATGCGGCAAACCAGTTCTAAGGTGACGAAGTATCACTGATTTTTTAAAACTGGCTATAGAAAAATCCGTTCATAGATTGTTCTCACTTTCACTTGCCTGTATAACTAGTTGCATATACACATCTTTCAGTTCTTTTTGACTAATTTATTTACTATTTGTACAAAACACTCAATAAATAGGACAACACAATCACATTGTATTCATAGTTGTTCGCCTGCATGATGCACGTCTATATGACGCCGTAAATTCGACTTAACTTTGGCTTTATATGGACACTGTTTGCACTCATGCCATTTAATATCATGCTCCTCTAAATGGTGTAAGTTATGGTGGATATTCAAAGCTGACTTATCTTTAGCTTTATACGAACAAATACCACATTTGTACCATTTAACATCCACCCCATCCAAATGACGCGCATTTATGTGCTTCTTTAAATTATCGTTGCGTTTTGACTTATATGGACACTTTTTGCATTCATACCATTTAATATCCTTATCATCCAAATGACGTGCTGTAACGTGACCATTAAACGACGATCTATACCTAGTTTTATACGGGCACATTTTGCATTCATACCACCTGATATCCTTTTCGTCCAAATGGCGCGAGTTTGTGTGCTTATTTAACGCAGTTTTGTTTTTTGACTTGTACGGGCATTTTTGGCACTGGTACCATATCACATCCGGGCCATCCAAATGTTGCGCGTTTATGTGGCTTTTCAAATTAGCTTTTTGTTTAGCTTTGTATGAACATTGTTTGCATTCATACCATTTAATATCTTGGTCGCTGCAATGTCGCAAAATCGTGTGTTTTTTTAAATAGGATTTCGTTTTACCTTTATAGGAACATTTGTTACACTCGTACCATTTAATGAGTCGTTCATCCACATGATGCACACTTACGTGTCTATTCAAAGACGACTTATCTTTAGTCTTGAACGGGCACTTGCCACATTTGTACCACTTAATATCGGTTCCACACAAATGTTGCGTATTCATGTGGTTCTTTAAATAGCGCTTCTGCGTCGTTCTATACGTACACTGCGCACAACGATACCACGATATTTCTTTATCATTCATATGTTTCGAAATCGTGTGCATCTTCAAATTATATCTGTGTTTGTACCGTTGCTCGCACTGATCGCACGCGTACGGGTTATCTCCAGAGTTCGTCGCAAACCTCGTCCACGAATTTTCTTCGTTTCCCAAACACGCAGCACTATGGCGCAGCCACTTGATCGAAAAGTGGGTTTCAAAGCCGCATTTTTCGCAAACGTAGCTCTGAATCCGGTGCCCCTCACTCGATGACTCTTGACACTCTTTTTTAACGCCGTGGCGCTCTTCAATGTGTTTTTTAAAAAGCAGGGTTAGTTCCGTTTCAAAGTCGCAGTCTTTGCAGAAGTAAGTTTCGAGGTTTGCGCTTTCACAGTTGAAGTGTTGCACCACTGAGTGGTGGCATCTGACGTGGTTCACCATGACGAGGAACGAGGTCGTGAAATATGGACAGACTTTGCAGTTGTGGACGTTGTTGGGGGAAGATTTCATTTCGATTTGAGTTTCGGAATATTCGAAAACCGACATTTTGAACTTGTTTGATAAATTTTATCACGGTGTGTGTGTTTCTTTTCTCACTTGTGTTTTTGGCGAAAAATTGCGAGTCTAAAAAATTTTGTTGAAACATAACCTCAAAATTTAGATTTAGTTACCATCACTGTCGTGTTGGAGGGCCAAGGTTTTTGTTTACGTAGTTTAATTAATTAGTGATTTGTTTGTGATTGATGAATTAACGGTTTTTGTGCCGTTTTCACCCAAAATTTTTCTATTTTTATCAACATTGGATTGTAGAAGATGGCAGGTAGGCAACCATAAATACTTGTGATGTATCATGGCTCCATTGTATACAAGGTTTAAAAAAATACAATTTTAGACATATTTTAACTTTTTGCTATCGAAATAAGTCTACACATATCAAGAAAAAAAGGCAAAATATAAGCCCCGCCCACCCGCCCTATCTCAATTGTGATGATTTTTTTATTCGTCGTGAGTCAAAGGGGTGGAGATTAACTGCAAAATCCTTATTTCTCTACAAGAGAAACTAAAAAACTGTTTTTGAGTATCGGGTTGTTCAAAAAATACTGAGCATATTAAGAAAAATAAAACCCCACCCAAAGCTTCCCCGATCTAAATAGTAATGAAGTTTTCATTCGTTAATTCCAAAGTCCAAATTCTCTTACAAAAATTTACCATCTTAAACGTGTTTTATGTTTTTAAGAATAAAAAAAATCATCACAATTGAGATGGGGTGGGTGGGCGGGGTTTATATTTTGCCCTTTTTTTCTTAATGTACATAGTATTCTTTTAGTAATACGATACTCAAAAACATGTTTTTAATTTCTTGTAAAGAAATAAGTATTTTGCAATTAAACTCCGTCCCCTTGCTTTACGGCGAATAAAAAAATCATCACAATCGAGATAAGGCGGGTGGGCGGGCTTACATTTTGCCTTTTTGTTTTAATATGTGTAGACTTTTTTCACAAGATAAAACTTAAAATATGTTTAAAAGGGAAAATTTGTATGAGGAAATATCAATTTTGCAATTAGGCTCCACCCCATAAATGCAAAATCCATATTTCCTTGCAAAAATATAGCATTTTATTATTTAAATTAAAAATATAAGCCCCACCCACCCACCCTATCTCAATTCGGATGATTTTTTTTTATTTGTCGGACGTCAATTTCTCGATATTTAAGCTTTCAATTTTTCAATCGTTCAATGTTGCGTTTTTTCGGTTTCACAATTTCGACAATTCTATAATTTTTCGATTTTGCAGTTTTTTCGTTTTCCGATTTTTCGCTTTCGCGTTTATTCTTCTTTCTAATTTTTCGATTCATTATTTTTTTTAGATTTTTAGGTTTCTCGATTTTTAGATCGTCAGTGTTTCAATTTTTCGTTTCTTCAGTTTTTCGATATTTCATTTTTCGATTTACAAAAAACGTCTTTAGCCGACTTTCGACAGTAGTCGAAAAATGATAAGAACTCATAATGTTTGTCTTTTTCGAAAAATGTCCTAAAAATCCTCAAAAAGTTTGGGATTTTAATCTCTGATTTCAATTTTGAATTTTGAATTTTTCATTTCTTCAAATTTTCGATTTGCAATCTGTCGCTTTCTTTATTTTTACAATTTTTCAAATTTTCCATATTCCGATTTTATAATTATTTGTTTTTTAAATCTCAACTTTTCGGTTCTTCAGTTTTTCAATTTTTCATATTTTTTGTTTCTTTAATTTTACGATATGCAACTCTTCGAGTTTTTATTTATAAATTTTCAATTTTTGAATTTTTTGGATGTTTAAATTTTTATAAGTTGCCATTTCACGAGTTTTTAATTTTTCGATTTTTCAACTTTTGGATTTTTTTATTTTTGTTTTTTCGATTTTAGATTTTTCGTTTCTCGATTTTCAAATTTTTCGTTCCTTCAATTTTTGATTTGAATTTTTCTAGTTTTCATGTTTAATATATAATACAATTTACTTAATTATGATAATTTTTAATATTTTTCACTTTTTCAATTGTAGGATTTTAAAATTTTTCCATTTTTCGTTTATTCGACTTTTCAAATTTTCGATTTTTAATTTGTCAATTTCTCGATATTTAATCTTTCAATTTTTTGAACTTTCACTGTTGCGTTTTTCAGTTTTACAATTTTGACGATTCTATAATTTTTCGATTTTGCAATTTTTTGGTTTTCCGATTTTCTCAATTTTCCAATTTTTCGTTCCTTCAATTTTTGATTTGAATTTTTCTAGTTTTCATGTTAAATATATAATACAATTTACTTAATTATGATAATTTTTAATATTTTTCACTTTTTCAATTGTAGGATTTTAAAATTTTTCCATTTTTCGTTTATTCGACTTTTCAAATTTTCGATTTTTATTTGTCAATTTCTCGATATTTAATCTTTCAATTTTTTGACCTTTCACTGTTGCGTTTTTCAGTTTTACAATTTTGACGATTCTATAATTTTCGATTTTGCAATTTTTTGGTTTTCCGACTTTCTCAATTTTCCAATTTTTCGTTCCTTCAATTTTTTATTTGAATTTTTCTAGTTTTCATGTTAAATATATAATACAATTTACTTAATTATGATAATTTTTAATATTTTTCACTTTTTCAATTTTGGGATTTTAAGATTTTTCCATTTTTCGTTTAATCGACTTTTCAAATTTTCGATTTTTAATTTGTCAATTTCTCGATATTTAATCTTTCAATTTTTTGACCTTTCACTGTTGCGTTTTTCAGTTTTACAATTTTGACGATTCTATAATTTTCGATTTTGCAATTTTTTGGTTTTCGGATTTTTCCAATTTTCCAATTTTTCGTTCCTTCAATTTTTGATTTGAATTTTTCTAGTTTTCATGTTTAATATATAATACAATTTACTTAATTATGATAATTTTTAATATTTTTCACTTTTTCAATTGTAGGATTTTAAAATGTTTCCATTTTTCGTTTATTCGACTTTTCAAATTTTCGATTTTTAATTTGTCAATTTCTCGATATTTAATCTTTCAATTTTTTGACCTTTCACTGTTGCGTTTTTCAGTTTTACAATTTTGACGATTCTATAATTTTTCGATTTTGCAATTTTTTGGTTTTCCGAATTTCTCAATTTTCCAATTTTTCGTTCCTTCAATTTTTTGATTTGAATTTTTCTAGTTTTCATGTTAAATATACAATACAAATTACTTAATTATGATAACTTTTAATATTTTTCACTTTTTCAATTGTAGGATTTTAAAATTTTTCCATTTTTCGTTTATTCGACTTTTCAAATTTTCAATTTTTAATTTGTCAATTTCTCGATATTTAATTTTTCAATTTTTCGAATTTTCACTGTTGCGTTTTTCAGTTTTACAATTTTGACGATTCTATAATTTTTCGATTTTGCAATTTCTTGGTATTCCGATTTTCTCAATTTTCCAATTTTTCGTTCCTTCAATTCTTGATTTGAATTTTTCTAGTTTTCATGTTTAATATATAATACAATTTACTTAATTATGATAATTTTTAATATTTTTCACTTTTTCAATTGTAGGATTTTAAAATTTTTCCATTTTTCGTTTATTCGACTTTTCAAATTTTCGATTTTTAATCTGTCAATTACTCGATATTTAATCTTTCAATTTTTCGACCTTCCACTGTTGCGTTTTTTCAGTTTTACAATTTTGACGATTCTATAATTTTTCGATTTTGCAATTTTTTGGTTATCCGATTTTCTCAATTTTCCAATTTTTCGTTCTTTCAATTTTTGATTTGAATTTTTCTAGTTTTCATGTTAAATATATAATACAATTTACTTAATTATGATAATTTTTAATATTTTTCACTTTTTCAATTGTAGGATTTTAAAATTTTTCCATTTTTCGTTTATTCGACTTTTCAAATTTTCGATTTTTAATTTGTCAATTTCTCGATATTTAATCTTTCGATTTTTGACCTTTCACTGTTGCGTTTTTCAGTTTTACAATTTTGACGATTCTATAATTTTTCGATTGCAATTTTTTGGTTTTCCGATTTTCTCAATTTTCCAATTTTTCGTTCCTTCAATTTTTGATTATTGTAGTTATGCCATGTCCTGTTTATCTAAATGGCACGTATTGAAGTGTCTACATAAAGTTGACGGACGTTTGGTTTTGTATGAACACTGTTGGCTTTGATTCCATTTTATGTCCCGTTCGTTAAAATGGCGCATCATTGAATTTTGGCACTCGTACCATTTAATATTTTGTTCTGTGGAATGCTTTATCTCCGTATGTTTTTTCAAAGCGAATTTCTGACAGAAATAAGTTGTCATAGTTTTGGGTCTGATATTACTGAGACGTAAAATGGGTTGCCTATGCAGAAATATTCAAGCGTGAATATATAATGTGTTGCCTATATTATCCAATTTATACCTGGTGGTGACTTTTTTTCACTGTATTCAAAAATTACGAATAATATCATCAAATTTTCAGTAAGAAGAAAGTCTGTCTTCTCCACCGAGTTTTTAGCTAATTAACTAGGATAAATCATGTTGGTAAGAAAACACTTTTTGAGGTTATGTACTTTCGTGGTTCATAAACATTTGTTCCAGGAAACCACAGCGTGCTTAAAAAAGACCCATGACTCCAGAATTTGCCCCCATGGTGAACCACCTTTCAACTGTGAACATTCCACCATCAAGAATTACTCCTGCGAAAGCTGTGATTACAAAACAGAACTTAAACTTCTTTTAAAACAGCACGTGGAACAGCGCCATGGCATTAAAAAAGAAAACGAAGATTCAACAAGTGAGAAATACGTAATACAACTTTATATTTGTGAAAAGTGTAGATTCGAGACACACTTCCTAATCAAGTGGGTTCAACACACTAGTACATGTTTAGAAAGTAAAACTAACCCCAGTTTGTTTGAAAATGAAGACGACATTGTTAAATGGTACGTATGTAAAGAGTGCCCACTCAAAACCAAGTACAAGTCTGTGTTAAAAACCCACATAAACACGCACCACTCAAAAGATATTAAATGGCATGAGTGCCAAATATGTCCATATCGAAGCAAATACACCTCTAACTTAAAAAGCCATGTGGTGAGACATCACCACGGTCAAGGTAAGTGCTACGAGTGCCAAAAATGCCAATTCAAAACTAAGTACAGATCAGCGTTAAAGATCCACACAATGACGCACCACGTCGACACCAAACATGTTAAATGGTATGAATGCCAAATATGTCCATACAAAAGTAAATACCCCCCTAATTTAAAAACCCACATGCAGAGATATCATTCCAGAGAAGCTCAATGGTACGAATGTGAAAAATGCCACTACAAAACCAGACACAAATCAGCTCTAAAAATGCACACCAACACGCAGCACACAGAAGATATTCAATGGTTTGAATGTGAACAATGTGCATTCAAGAGTAAGTACAGGTATAATTTAAAAAGCCACACAGTTGCACAGCATTCCAACAAACAGGATCTTACCTGGCACCAATGCAACGAGTGCCCTTATAAATCTATATACATTTCTAGTTTACGAAAGCACGTCAATGCCAAACATCTAGAACCGGAGAATGTTAAATGGTACGATTGTAAGTGGTGTCCATTTAAAAGCAAACATGGATCTTCTTTAAAAGATCACGTAAATGCGCGCCACTTGGACGGGAACGATATTAAATGGTTTGAGTGCAAATCTTGCGAATATAAGACTAAAAGCAGTTCGTCTTTGAACGAACACGTGAAGAGGCGCCATTTACCTAAGCAGAAGGGTGATGTTAAATGGCATGAATGCCAGATATGTCCTTTCAAAACGAAGGAAAGATGTAATTTAACTCAGCATGTTAGAAGGCGGCATAGGGATAAAAAAGAACCGGATGTTAAATGGCATGAATGCCAAATGTGTGAGTTTAAAAGTAAAGACAAGTCGAGTTTAAATAGGCATTTGAAGAGGGTACATGTGGACGAAGGACAAGAAAATAAGTGAAATTAAATATTTCTGTAAAGACTGTTAGGGTTAAATTTAATAAATCGTATCACTGAGTCCCGTTTTAATTTGTTTACTTAAAAAAAATAAATAAATAACCAGAGAACATAGAGAAGCGTCATAGTTCAAATTAAATGACAGTTGAGGACTGCTCGACTTATGTTGGCAACAGTGTTTGTTTCTAAGTTGGATTTTACAATTTCTCAATTTTTCGGTTTCTCGGTTTTCAGTTTTTCTCTTCAATTTTACGATTTTTAAATATTTCGATTTTTTAATTTTTGACTTTTATAAACTCTTTATTTGGCGATTTTTCAATTAATTGATTTTTCAGGTTTTTTGGTTTTTCGTTTTTTCTATTTGTTCAGGTTCGATTTTTCAACTTCACTTTTTTGATTTTTCGATTTCTCAATTTTTCAATTTTTTAATTTCTCAGTTTTCGTACATTTCAGTTTTGGTATTTTTCAGTTTGGTTATTATTCAATTTTTCGATCTTACGATTTTGCAGGTTTTTGATTTTTCAATTTTTCGATTTTTTTAAGGTTTCGATATTTCGACTTCACTTTTTTGATTTTTCGATTCTTTAGATTCTCAGTTTTTGGATATTTCAGTTTTGGGATTTTTCAGTTTTTCGATTCGTCAGTTTTATTTCATTTTTCAGTTTTTCGATATTTCAGTTTTGGGATTTTTCAATATTTCTGTTCTTCGACTTTTCCATTTTTGACTTCTGGATTTTTCGATGTGTCGACTTTTTACTTTTTCGATTTTTAAATTTTAGATTTCTCTTTTTGGTATTTTAATTTTTCAATAGATTTTTCATTTCAGTTTTTCGATATCTCAGTTTTTCAAATTTTCGAATTTTTCAAATGTTTTGATTTCTTAATCAATCGATTTTTCGACTTCCCGGTTTTAAATTTTCTGTTTTTCAATTGTCATTTTGCCAAATTTTCGATTTTTTAATTTTTCAAATTTGACTTTCATAAATTCTCAATTTTTCGATTTTTCAATTAATCGATGTTTTGATTTTCCCATTTCTTGACCTTCGAGTGTTTTCATTTTCCTGTTCTTCAATTCTTTATTTTTTTTACTTTTCAGGTTTTTGATTTTTCAATGTTTCGGTTTTTAAAGTTTCTATTTTTCGACTGTGTAATTTTCCAATATTAAAATTTTTCATTTTTCGATTTTTCAATTTTTCAAGTCCTCGATTTTAATTTTTCATTTTCCCGATTTTTTAATATTACATCACAATTTTTTTTGCTGCAGTTTTGTTTTCAATGTTTCTTTCGATTTTTCAATTTTTCATTTCTTTCATTTTTCGAGTTTTTGATTTCTAATTTTTAGATTTTTCATTTCATGTTTTTTCGGTTTATCATTTTTGATTTTTCAATTGCAGAATTTTGCAATTTTTCTGCTTTTTTATTCGATAAGTTGAAAATTGGAAAATTGAAAAACCGAAAACAAAACTCGGAAAAAATTGAAAAATCGAAATATTGAAATCTTAAAGAAGAAAATGCGAATCGAATCAAAAAATAGAAAAATCAAAAATTGTAAAATTTAAAAAATGATAAAATCGTCAAAATTGTAAAGTTGAAAAACCAAAAAGATCGAAAAACTTAAAAAGCGAAAATTGAAAATCGTATAAATGAAAAAACAAACAAAAAACTGCAAATCAAAAATTTGGAGAAACGAACAACTGAAAAATTAGAAACTGAAAAATCTAAAATTCAAAAAATGGAAGAATTTAAAATTTTCACATTGAAAAAAGGAGAAGAAAGTGAAAACCGAAACGAAAAATACCAAATCGAAAATTTGCAAAATCTAAAAATTGAAACATCCAAAAGTTGGAAATTCTGTAAAATTTAAAAATGTAAACTTGAAGAGTTAGGTATCCTAATTTTGAAGAAACAAAAAAATGAAAAATTGCAAATCAAAAATTTTTAAAAATTGAAACTGAAAAAACAAAAAATTATAAAATCCGAACATTGAAAAATCGATAAATAGTTTTAATAAAGGAAATAAAAACCCAAAGAAAAAAATGGGAAGAGTCGAAAAATTGAAAAATTAAAAATTGAAAACATGAGCAACAGCAAGTTCATAAATCCCGTTTTAAGCAGGATCATGACATGTTGTAAGTATCTTTTTGTCGAAATAAGTCTACACAAATTAAGAAAAAAAATGCAAAATGTAGCCCCGCCCACCCGCCCTATCTCAATTGTGATGAATGTTTCATTTGTTGTCAGGTCGAGGGGTGGGGCTTAATTGCAAGATCCATATTTGTCTGCAAGAATTTATCATGTTAAACTTGTTTTAGGTTTCTAAGAATAAAAAAAATCATCACAATTGAGATGGGGTGGATGGGTGGGGTTTATATTGTGGCTTTTTCTTAATATACATAGTATTCTTTGGAAAACACGATATTCAAAAACATGGTTTTAATTTCCAGTTTTTCGATGTTTCGATTTTTCAGTTATCCGATTTTTAAATTTTACATTTTTTCGATTTTCAGTTCTTCGATATTTCGATTTTTCGAATTTTCGATTATTTTAATTGTTTATTTTTTTTTCTCACTATTAATATCGAAAACAACCACAAAAATTGTCACTAAAAACATTAAAAAAAAATTCATACAAAATCGAACACAGTGTTTCCAAAACGTTTTCCCGAAAAAAATCCATTGGGTTATTACGATTTCAACAATATTCAATATTTCAGTTTTGGGATTTTTCAATATTTCTGTTCTTCGACTTTTCCATTTTTGACTTCTGGATTTTTCGCTTTTTAAATTTTAGATTTCTCAATTTTTTGGTATTTTAATTTTTCAATATTTAAAATTTTCGATTTCTCGATTTTTCATTTCAGTTCTTCGATATCTCAGTTTTTCAAGTTTTCGAATTTTTCAAATGTTTTGATTTCTTAATCAATCGATTTTTCGACTTCCCGGTTTTAGATTTTCTGTTTTTCAATTGTCATTTTGTCAAATTTTCGATTTTTTAATTTTTCAAATTTGACTTTCATAAATTCTCAATTTTTCAATTAATCGATGTTTTGATTTTCCCATTTCTTGACCTTCGAGTGTTTTCATTTTCCTGTTGTTCAATTCTTTAATTTTTTGACTTTTCAGGTTTTTGATTTTTCAATTTTTCGTTTTTTTAAGGTTTCTATTTTTCGACTGTGTAATTTTCCAATATTAAAATTTTTCATTTTTCGATTTTTCAATTTTTCGTTTCCTCAATTTTTCAAGTCCTCGATTTTAATTTTACATCACAATTTTTTTGTTGCAGTTTTGTTTTCAATGTTTCTTTCGATTTTTCAATTTTTCATTTCTTTCATTTTTCGGGTTCTTGATTTCTAATTTTTAGATTTTTCATTTTATATTTTTTCGGTTTTTCATTTTTGACTTTTCAATTGCAGAATTTTGCAATTTTTCTGTTTTTTTATTCGATAAGTTGAAAAATTGGAAAATTGAAAAACCGAAAACAAAACTCGGAAAAAATTGAAAAATCGAAATGTCGAAATCTTAAAGAAGAAAATGCGAATCGAATCAAAAAATGGAAAACTCAAAAATTGTGAAATTGAAAAATGATAAAATCGTCAAAATTGTAAAGTTGAAAAACCAAAAAGATCGAAAAACTTAAAAATCGAAAACTGAAAATCGTATAAATGAAAAAGTTTTTAAGATCCAATAATTGAAAAATGAAAGAATTCTAAAAACGTAATTAAAAAGTGAAAAATTTCAAAAATTATAACTATTATTACATATTTAAAATAAAAAACAAAAAAACTGAAAAATCCAAAAATTGAAAAATTTCACATTAAAAAAAGGAAAATTATAAAATAAGGACATTGAAAAACCGAAAAATTGAAAAAGTAAAGCAAGTAAAAACCGAAACAAAAAACTGCAAATCGAAAATTTGAAAAACTGAAAAATTAGAAACTGAAAAATCTAAAATTCAAAAAATCGAAAAATTGAAAATTTCCACATTGAAAAAAGAAGAAGAAAGTGAAAAGCCGAAACGAAAAATATCAAATCGAAAATTTGCAAAATCTAAAAAGTGAAACATCCAAAAGTTGGAAATTCTGTAAAATTTAAAAATGTAAACTTGAATACATATCCTAATTTTGAAGAAACAAAAAAATTAAAAATTGCAAATCAAAAATTTAAAAAAATTGAAACTGAAAAAATAAAAAATTATAAAATCCGAACATTGTAAAATGGATAACTATTTAAAAAATAAGGGAAATAAAAACCCCAAAAAAAAAATTGGTCTAAAGAGTTTAGACAGGACTTCCCCGATTTTTACATTTTTTCAAGTTTCAGTTCTTCGATATTTCGATTTTTCAGTGTTTAGGTTTTACGATTTTTTAAGGTTATTACGATTTCAACAATATTCTTAGTTTAAGACGTTTTGTTAGTATAAAACACAAATAAAGAATTAATTCCTAGTTAAACAAAATATGTAAAATCATCTAAATATGTACCAAAAATATTCACTTAGTCGTTATAAAAACCGACCAAACAACTATTTCCCGCAGAAATTATAGTCTAAACCAACCAAATCGCTTCTGGACGCTTAGAGTCGACATTGGCCTGAGCGCGCTCTGGTCTGTAAATCAAACAAGTCCTCAGGCGACGAGTTGTAATGAATCAAGTTTTAGACTATTTAAATTTGGCGCTTGCTTTTGGCGGTTGAGGCTTCCAATATCAATAAGGGTGGTTTTGCAAAATCAGCCTCTATGTCGCATCTATATTAATCTATGTAATAACTGTGCGTTAGTATAGTGTGTTGCCTATATAACACAGGTGATTATTTCTTAACATTTCTGAAAATTTAAAGAATATTATATTAAACTATGACCCACAGAAGTCACAAACATTGCATTTGTGTGTCAAGAAATGGTTAATAATTTTGGAAATAAAAATCTTCACAAAAAATATTTTTATTTTTGAGGTTATGTACCATGTTTGATTTTAAAATTAATTCAAACCGAGGTGAGTAAAGACCCCGCAGTCTCTTTAAATTACTAATGATCAATAAATTTTAGACAAACCAGAGTGTTATTTTCATGATGAAGCACCACCAATCATCAGAAGACACTTTCAATTGCGAATATTCCAACATCGAAGCTTATTGCTGCAAAACGTGCGATTTTCAGACCGAACTAAAACTTTTTTTTAAACAACATGTAAAACAAAACCACGACGTGCCAAAAGAAGATTCACCAATTGGAGAATATTTGATCCAAAGCTACGTTTGCAGAAAGTGTGACTTTGAAACTCACTTTACCCTTAAGTGGCTTCAACACACCATTGTATGTACAGGAGATGAAAATTCTCAAAGTGGAAATATTGTGAGGTGGTATAGTTGTGATCAGTGTGAGCTCAAGTACAAGAACAAATATTCCTTAAAGGAACACATCATTGCAAAGCATTTGAATGAAGACCAAATATCTTGGTTTCACTGTTCTCAATGTTCATTCAAAGCTAAACTAAAGTGTGGTTTGAGATATCACATGAACTCGTCGCATTTGGATAAAGATAACCTTAAATGGTATAAATGCAAAAAGTGTCCATACAGATCTAGACAAAGCTGTAACTTGAAAAGACACATAAACACACGACATTCATTTGGACAAGAAATTATATGGCGTAAATGCAGGCGGTGCCCATTTCAAACAAAAGATTATTCTACTTTACGGTGTCATCAAAGTACACATGCTCAAGATAAACGGAATTTTCAATGGTACCAGTGTAAAGAATGTCCATACAAAGCTAAATGTTCCAAATATTTAAACAAACACATAAAAGCGCGTCATTTGGATGAAAAGGACATTAAATGGTATGAATGCAAACAGTGTCCATACAAAGCTAAACAAGAAGCGAATTTGAGAGGGCACGTCACCGCTCACCATTTGTGCGAACAGGACATAAAATGGTTCAAATGTGACAGCTGCCCCTTCAAAGCCAAATTTAAATCATCTTTAAAAAGACACATAAATGCCCATCATTTGGCAGAACAAGACATCAAGTGGCATAAATGCCACAAATGTCCATACAAAGCTAAAGAAAAATTTTCGTTGAAAGAACACATCAATGCGCTACATTTAGATGAGCAAGATATTAAATGGTACAACTGCGAAATGTGTTCATTCAGAGCCAAACAAAAGTCGCGTTTGAGAAATCACTTCGCTGCACATCACCTAGATGAAAAAGATATTAAATGGTACGAATGCAAAACGTGCCCTTATAAAAGCAAACATAAAACGTGTCTAGACAGACACGTCAATGCCCTTCATTCCGACGAACAGAATATTCACTGGTTTCAGTGCCAAAATTGCCCGTTTAAAGCTAAACACAAATCGTCGTTGAGTAGACACGTCAGTGCACTCCATTTAGACGCAAGTGATATTAAATATTTTGAGTGTACAAAGTGTGCGTACAAATTTAAGCATAGAGCGTCTTTGAAAAGACACGTAAAAATTCTCCATTTGGACGAAAATGATATTAAATACAGTAAAGCTGAAATGGATGTGTCCCCAAGTAAAATTTAGTTATTGGATGCGTCAAACCGTAGTTACACTAACGAAATAAGCAATAAGGTCATCAAATTCACTGAATATATTGTAAATTTCAGTCTTGTGTAATATTCACTTTAAGTTATGTCAGAATTGAAAGAAATATACTATAAATTTTGTTTGAAGCTTGTTTAATTTACAATACGTGTGGTAGTTAATAGACAAACATTAGGGGGAGTAGTTTTAAGTTTCTTGCTGTCGAAATAAGCCTGCACATATCAAGAAACAAAGGCAAAATAGAAGCCCCGCCCACCCACCCGATCTCAATTGTGATGATCTTTTTTTATTCGTCGATAGCCAAGGGGGCGGAGCTTAACTGCAAAATTCTTATTTCTTTACGAGAAATTACAAATATGTTTTGAGTATCGGGTTCTTCAAAAAATACTATGTATATTAAGCCAAAAATTAGGCCCCACCCATACCCGCCACGACCTCAATTGTGATAAATTTTTCGTTCGTTGTCAGATCGAGGGGCGGGGCTTAATTGCAAGATCCTTATTTATCTACAAGAATTTGCCATTTTAACCAAGTTTCTTGTTGTGAAAAGACGACTACGTATATTAAGATAAAAGGCAAAATATAGGCTCCGCCCAACCGCCCCATCTCAATTGTAATGATTTTTTTTTAAATCGTGGACAGCCAAAGGAACGGAATTTAATTGCAAAATCCTCGTTATTCCTCTAGAAGAAATTCCCATGTAAGACCTGTTTTTGAGTATGGTGTTATTCAAAGAATGCTAAGTATATTAAGAAAAAATTAAAACCCCATCCTTACCTGTCCCGATCTAAATAGTACTGAAGTTTTCATTTGTTGACAGACTTAGGGGCGGAGCCTAATTGCAAAATCTATAGTTCCTTAAAAAAATCACCATTTTAAACGTGTTTTAAGTTTCCAAAAATAAATAAAAAATCGCCACAATTGAGATGGGATGGGTGGGCGGGGTCTATATTTATCCTATTTTTAATATACATATTATTCTTTGAACACCACGATACTCAAAAACATATTTTTAAGTTCTTGTAAAGAAATACGTATTTTGCAAATAAGCTCCTCCCCCTTGGTTCACGGCGAATAAAAAAAATCATCACAATTGCGATCGGGCGGGTGGGCGGGCTTACATTTTGCCTTTTTGTTTTAATATTTGTAGACTTCTTTTCACAACAAGAAACTTAAAACATGTTCAAAATGGAAAATTTGTATAACGAAATATCGATTTTGTAATAAAGCTTCGCCCCATAATTGTAAAATCCATATTTCCTTACAAAAAGGTAACTAGCGTTCAAATAAAAACGACGTCAAGCTGGCTTTGTAAATGTGAATTTAGGGCTTAGTGAATGATTCGTTCACATTTCCAAAGCTAACATGTCGTTTTTATTTGAACGCTCGTTAACATTTTAACCAGATTTTAAGTTTCTTGTTAGGAAAAAACGACTATGTATATTAAGAAAAAAAAGGCAAAATATAAGCCCCGCCCACCCGCCCTATTTTAATTGTGATGATTTTTTTATTCGTCGTGAGCCAAAGGGGCGGAGCTTAACTGCAAAATCCTTATTTCTCCACAAGAAATTAAAAATATGCTTTTGAGTATCGGGTTCTTCAAAGAATACTATGTATATTAAACCAAAAATGGGTGGGGCCCCATACCCGCCCCGATCTCAATTGCGATAAATTTTTCATTCGTTGTTAGATCGAGGGGCGGAGCTTAAGTGCAAGATCGATATTTATCTACAAGAATTTACCATTTTAACCAAGTTTCTTGTTGTGAAAAGACCACTACGTATATTAAGATAAAAGGCAAAATATAAGCCCCGCCCACCCGCCCCATCTCAATTGTGATGATTTTTTTATTAAATCGTCGACAGCCAAAAAAGCGGAATTTAATTGCAAAATCCTTGTTATTTCTCTAGAAGAAATTACCATGTAAGACCTGTTTTTGAGTATGGTGTTATTCAAAGAATGCTAAGTATATTAAGAAAAAATTAAAAGATTAAGCCCCATCCTTACCTGTCCCGATCTAAATAGTAATGAAGTTTTCATTTGTTGACAGACCTAGGGGTGGAGCCTAATTGCAAAATCCATATTTCCTTACAAAAATTCACCATTGTAAACTTGTGTTAAGTTTCAAAAATAAATAAAAAAAATCACCACAATTGAGATGGGGTGGGTGGGCGGGGTTTATATTTTGTTTTTTTTTCTTAATATACATATTCTTTGAACAACACAATACTCAAAAACATGTTTTTAATTTCTTGTAAAGAATGAAGTATTTTGCAGTTAAGCTCCGCCCCCTTGGTTCACGGCGAATAAAAAAAATCATCACAATTGAGACAGGGCGGGTGGGCGGGCTTACATTTTGCCTTTTTGTTTTAATATGTGTACACTTCTTTTCTCAAAAAGAAACTTAAAACTAGTTCGAAATGGAAAATTTGTATAAGGAAATATTGATTTTGCAATTAAGCTCCGCCCCATAATTGCCAAACCCATATTTCCTTGCAAAAATATACCATTTTAACCGTGTTTTAAGCTTCTTGTTGTGAAAAGATGGCTATGTATATTAAGAAAGAAAAAAAGGCAAAATATAAGCCCCGCCCACCCGCTTCATCTTAATTGTGATATTTTTTTTATTCGTCGTGAGCTTAATTGCAAAAGCGATATTATTAAAACAAAATGGCTAAATGTAGGCCCGCCCACCCGCCCAATCTTAATTGTGATGATTTTTTTGATTCAAAAACTCGAAAAAATAAAGAAATGAAAAATTGAAAAATCGAAAGAAACATTGAAAACAAAACTGCAACAAAAAAAATTGTGATGTAATATTAAAAAATCGGGAAAATGAAGAATTAAAATCGAGGACTTGAAAAATTGAAGAAACGAAAAATTGAAAAATCGAAAAACGAAAAATTTTAATATTGGAAAATTATACAATCGAAAAATAGAAACCTTAAAAAAACGAAAAATTGAAAAATCAAAAACCTGATAAGTCAAAAAATTAAAGAATTGAAGAACAGGAAAATGAAAACACTCGAAGGTCATGAAATGGGAAAATCAAAACATCGATTAATTGAAAAATTAAGAATTTATGAAAGTCAAATTTGAAAAATTAAAAAATCGAAAATTTAACAAAATGACAATTGAAAAACAGAAAATCTAAAACCGGGAATTCGAAAAACCGAATGAGTAAGAAATCAAAACATTTGAAAAATTCGAAAACTTGATAAACTGAGATATCGAAGAACTGAAATGAAAAATCGACAAATCGAAAATTTTAAATATTGAAAAATTAAAATACCAAAAAATTGAGAAATCTAAAATTTAAAAATCGAAAAATCCAGAAGTCAAAAATAGAAAAGTCGAAGAACAGAAATATTGAAAAATCCCAAAACTGAAGTATTGAATATTGTTGAAGTCATAATAACCCAATGGATTTTTTTCGGTAAAACGTTTTAGAAACACTGTGTTCGATTTTGTATGATTTTTTTTAATGTTTTTAGTGACAATTTTTGTGGTTGTTTTCGATATTAACAGTGAGAAAAAAATAAACAATTAAAATAATCGAAAATTCGAAAAATCGAAATATCGAAGAACTGAAAATCGAAAAAATGTAAAATTTAAAAATCGGATAACTGAAAAATCGAAAAATCGAAAAACTGGAAATTAAAACCATGTTTTTAAATATCGTGTTTTCCAAAGAATACTATGCATATTAAGAAAAAGCCACAATATAAACCCCGCCCACCCACCCCATCTCAATTGTGATGATTTTTTTTTATTCTTAAAAACCTAAAACAAGTTTAACATGATAAATTCTTGCAGACAAATATGGATCTTGCAATTAAGCCCCACTCTTCGACCTGACAACGAATGAAAAATACATCACAATTGAGATAGGGCGGGTGGGCGGGGCTACATTTTGCATTTTCTTCTTAATTTGTGTAGACTTATTTCAACAACAAGAAACTTAAAACATGTCATGATCCCACTTAAAGTGGGATTTATGAACTTGCTGTTGCTCATGTTTTCAATTTTTAATTTTCCAATTTTTCGAATCTTCCCATTTTTTTCTTTGGGTTTTCATTTCCTTTATTTTTAAAATATTTACGATTTTTCAATGTTCGGATTTTATAATTTTTTGTTTTTTCAGTTTCAATTTTTTCAAATTTTTGATTTGCAATTTTTCATTTTTTTGTTTCTTCAAAATTAGAATATGTAACTCTTCAAGTTTACATTTTTAAATTTTTCAGAAGTTCCAACTTTTGGATGTTTCAATTTTTAGATTTTTCGTTTCGGCTTTCACTTTCTTCTCCTTTTTTCAATGTGAAAATTTTCAATTTTTCGATTTTTTAAATTTTGGATTTTTCACTTTCTAATTTTTCAACTTTTCCTTTCTTCAATTTTTCGATTTGCAGTTTTTTGTTTCGGTTTTTAGTTTTTCAATTTTTCGGGTTTTCAATGTCCTTATTTTATAATTTTCTTAATTTTCCTTTGTTTAATGTGAAATTTTTCAATTTTTCGATTTGCAATTTTTCTGTTTTTTATTTTAAATATGTAATAATAATTATAATTTTTCAAATTTTTCACTTTTTAATTACGTTTTTAGAATTTTTTAATTTTTCAATTATTGGATCTTAAAAACTTTTTCATTTATACGATTTTCTATTTTCCATTTTTAAGTTTTTCGATCTTTTTGGTTTTTCAACTTTACAATTTTGACGATTTTATCATTTTTCAATTTTACAATTTTTGAGTTTTCCATTTTATGATTCGATTTGCATTTTCTTCTTTAAGATTTCAATATTTCGATTTTTCAATTTTTTCCGAGTTTCGTTTTCGGTTTTTCAATTTTCCAATTTTTCAACTTATCGAATAAAAAAACAGAAAAATTGCCAAATTCTGCAACTGAAAAGTCAAAAATGAAAAACCGAAAAAATATAAAATGAAAAATCTAAAAATTAGAAATCAAGAACTCGAAAAATCAAAGAAATGAAAAATTGAAAGAGACATTGGAAACAAAACTGCAACAAAAAAATTGTGATGTAATATTATAAAATCGGGAAAATGAAAAATTAAAATCGAGG